CTACCACGATGACTTTCTCCTGGCTTCTCTGCTCAGAAGACATGGCGCGATTTATTGGAGTAGTAAATTTGAGAAGAACAAACTGTTCATGCTTGGCTGAGAGCCTCCCTTCTTCCTTTTGGGAGTAGGTGCTTATAGGAAGCACTCATTTCACTGCTCCTCTAGGGACTGTGTCCCTGCTGGGGGCCAGTGCTGAATGGAGAGTTGGGGATGAGGTGTACCCTACGTCTTCTTGGGGGGTAGGGGTGGGGATGAGTGGGGATGCCTAATTCTGCAGTTCAATATCTGTAAGTCCATTTACCTAGCAGATCTAAAACCAAATCCTCCAATTTGGCTTCCATCAGTAATAAAGGTGATACATTGGTCCCATCTCTCAAGTCTTTTGTTTATTCCTTAAACAGAATAACTGTATCTACTTGAGAAAGAGGAGTACTTTGATTGACACTGAATCTAGTTGAGAAAGAGGAGTATTTTTATGGACACTTTGTCATAGACTTCAAGAAGAAGCACCTAACTGATTAGACTGTTTATTTCCCCAGGATGCCTCATTTTTCCATAAGCAATTTTTTTTTTTTTGAGGACAGAGCTCACATGGGTAATAACAAAGCAGTAGAGTTATGGGCTGTAAGTGCTGTATTAAAATGGCCTCGATTCAGATGTTGGCTCCAACACTTAAACGCTGTGTGATGCTTGGCAAGGGGCTTAATCTCCTGTACCTCCACCTCCCTGTAAAATAGCAGTACTGATTCCTACTTCTTAAAGTTGTTTTGAGTAGTGAGATGACAGAAGTAAAGCAACTTAGAGCAGTACCTAGTACACTGTATGCATTCAAAGCACGCTACTTATATAATTATGTCTTGTACATATTTGTATCCCCTATTTTATTTAGTATACGAATACTCCAAAAAAAATTTTTTTTAAATAAAACAGGGTTATCTGCAATAAAGACTATGTCTTATTCAACTTTTTATTCCCAGGAAAAGCACAGAGCTTAGCATAGAATAGAGCTTAATTCATGTTTGCTGTGTGAACAAATAAAAATGAGAAAGAAGTTAAAAACTGAGGTAAGAGAATTGTTCTGCCACATAACACAATTTTCTTTGTTAAACTTAACGGCTAATACTAGGGATTAATTTCTACTTGGCCAGAAAGTCAACAAAGTATACGCTGCTTAAATCAGTGACAAATGCATTTTGTTCAATTTTGCGTTGGAAACTATTCCACGGATAATTCCAAAACATTTTTAACTATCGCTTGATGTTGTCATGAGTCACTGCTGCCCTCTAGTGGAAGAAATGATGTAGTGCACATAAAGATGATGTCCCTAACTGAGCAACTTCTTTAAAAACTTTTCTACTCAAATATTTTTTTTCAAATACATATATAAATTTTCAAAAACCATTTCAAAATTTGCATTATCATCTCAGATAACAAATCTGTTTGCATTTATCATCTAGTCCCTTTGGGAAATCAGTCATATCAAATACAATGTTTCACTTTCTTCACCAATTGCAATAAATTGTAAAATAAATAGACATGCGAAAATTACAACCAAAAAATGGTCACAGGTGGAGAATGTCATTTAGAAGTACAGTAAAACCTTGGCTTGCAAGTATAATTCATTCTGTAAACATGCTTGTAATCCAAAGCACTTGTGTATCAAAGTGAATTTCCTTATAAGAAATAATGGAAACTCAGATGATTCATTCCACGACCCGAAATTATTCGTGTTAAAATAATTACAATACTGTAATATAACACAAAATAGTAGAGAAAATACAAAATATAAAGAAAAACAGACAAATTAACCTGCACTTACCTTTGAAAACCTTCGCGGTTGGTGTGAGGGAGACAAGAGAGGAGCGTTACTGTGTAGGATGAGTTTCACTATCACTAATGGAATCACTGCTGTCTCTTGGCTCGATGGAATCTTCTTCTGCATAGGGGCCATTGTATATGCTTGCAAGGATGTAGACTACGGTACAGTATTAATAAACTCTTGTCATACACTGTATTTAATGGAACTGGCAATAAGACAACAGAGGAAAGGGTCTGGATCTGCAGGCAGCCTGACCTAGAATGAAGCAAAGCATTCCTAGGCTTACTCCTGTATGGAGAAGCAAAGGACTGTCCATAGGTGGTTTGAAGTGACAAAAAATACACTAATGCCAGTTGTGGGCACCTTCCAATGTTGAAAAACCACTGATTTCTGCCAAAAACCTTGGCCTGAGCCTAAGCATCTGAGCATGGGAGACGATCACTCACAATCCCGCAGTGAGAGAGACAGAGAGACAGAAAGAAGAACCATTGCCTCAGTTGCGATCATGTGATGTCCAGCAACAGGTACTACTCATATTGCAAGACATCGCTCATTTATCAAGTTAAAATTAATTAGAAATGCTTGCTTGTCTTGCAGAACACTCGCAGAACAAGTTACTCACAATCCAAGGTTTTACTGTATAGCAAATCTCCAGGGTACTTCTGTTGCGGTATTACTTAAACAACTGTGGTTAACCCTTTTGGTTTCTAACCCATTTTCAATCCAGTTTCAGACCCCTGAAGTTGTACAGAGTGGTCGCAAGTTTTCAAGTCATCTAAGGCATCATTTTTGAACCTACAGAGTGTGCAAGAGTTGGGAAAGAGGTTGGTGGAAATATACCTAAATGAAAAAGACACAGTATCTGTATGTAAAAAGAAAGGTACATGGACACAAATACCACTAAAGAAAATGGAAAGCAAACCGTCAGAATACTATCTATTGATGGCACAAACTCAAAGACATGTGAGTAAGGGGAAGGTTTGTTCTAGGAAAGTCAGGTGGTATATGAGAGGGCTCTTGAAGATGGATAATCTTAACATAAGATAAACATAAATAAACAAAGGAAAAGTTACTCCAGAGTGAAGAAGTACAGACTGAATTTTAGAAACGATGACTAGTCAGGTATAGCTGCAGTGGAAGGTATATTCAGAAATAAAATCAGAAACAAAGGCTAATTACAAATCATGGAGGCCTTAAATGCCACCAAGCAAATCTGGACTTTGATCTAGTTATTGAAAATAAGTAGATCAGTTTTTTGAATAGTTATTAAAAAGTTTATGAATGGTCACAATAAGATCCATACTTTTGGAAAGCAACACTAGCTGCAATTCAGAAGATAAACTGAAACAGAGAAAGGCTGAAGTCAAGGAGATCAGTTTGGAAGCCTCTGCTATGGTCCAGGCAAGAAAATCTAAACTCCAGCTGTATTAATGGCAATAGAGAAAAAAACATCTATGTGTTTCATAAGGAAAACCAAAATCAGTCATTCAACAGTGGATTGATGCAGGGTGTGGGATAGGAGAGTGTAATTTAAAAAGAGAGAATAAAGAAATCTTTGACCTCTTGTGTCTAGGCAGATGAAGAGATGTTGAAGCCAATGAGAAAGCGACCACAGAGGAGACAGTCTGACATTCTCATTCATTGTCTATTTGCCACATGTGGTTAAAAGACAATGTTGTTCTTGGGGTGCCTGCGTGGCTCAGTTGGTTGAGTATCTGACTTTGGTTCAGGTCATGATTTCGTGGTTCATGAGTTCAAGCCCAGTGTCAGGCTCTGTGCTGACAGTTTGGAGCCTGGAGCCTGCTTTGGATTCTGTGTGTGTGTGCATGTGTGTGTGTGTATGTGTGTGTCCCCCTCTCTGCCCCTCCCCCACTTGTGCTCTGTCTCTCTCTCTCAAAAATAAACATTACAAAACATTTTTTAAGGCAATGTTGTTCTAGAATCTAGGTACGTTACAATTTATTATTTAAACATGGGAAGAGGGGTGCCTGGGTGGTTCAGTCAGTTAAGCATCTGACTCTTGATTTCAGCTCCAGGTCATGATCTCATGGTTCATAAGTTCAAGACCCACATCAGGCTCTGCGCTGACAGTGTGGTGCCCGCTTGGAATTCTCTCTCTCCCTCTCTTTCTGCCCCTCCCATGCTCATGCCCCCTCCCTCCCTCTCTCCCTCTCTCTCAAAATAAATAAACCAAAAAAAAAAAAAAAAAAAACTAAGGGAAGAAAAGAGAGATCAAAAATATGTAAGTTCATAGTACAACTTATTTAAATTTTTAACAAGAATCTAAGTCACATAGTGCCTCTGTCATAGGGTTTTCATTGGTAAAATAAAAAAATGAAGCCATGATAAATTAAAATTTTATGATTCTTTAGTCCTGTAATTAGGCAAGAAAATGTGTTTGAATTGATATCCAGTATACATCTGTTATTCCAGATAATTCTAAGCTTATAAAAGACAGGAAAATTATCCACAAAGAGGTTAAAACAGTAGGAAACGTAGAAAGGTATGAAAGAACAGAATTCTACAAAGAAAGCTAAGGGATAAAGCCTGAGTGTCACCCAAGCCAGAAGAAACCTACATGTCATCTTTGACTCCTTCTTCTTCACTCACTACCCATCATTCCCGCTGACAATACTTCCAATCCATCTACTTCTCTCCATCCCCACTGCCATTTCTCTAACTCAGATCACCACCCTCTCTTATATAAATAACTTAAATAGCCTCTTTTTTAAAAAAAAAATCTTAATTTTTTAAAGTAATGATACAAAATTTGTGGAACAAAAACTACATGGCATATATAAATTTAAGATTACCATGAGGTATACCATAGACATTTCCCTTTCCTTCCTGACTGCCAGTGGCTCAGTTCCCTTAATAAGAGGAAACCAAGCTAACCAAAGTTTTGTGTGTCCTTCAAGGTGTATTTTAGGGGCACCTGGGTGGCTCAGTCGATTGAGCATCCAACTTCGGCTCAGGTCACAATCTCATGGCTTGTTAAGTTCAAGTCCTACTCCTCCCCCGCTTGCACACTCTCTCTCTTGCTCTCAAAAATAAATAAACATTTTAAAAAGAGGTAGGAAAGTGTGAGAAGAGGTCAGCATCATAGAAAGCCCTTCCCTCAGCTAGGTCATCAGAGATAATAATTACTAATAGTTTTAAAATCTAGTATTAAGTAACTCACCACTACTAGAAAAGTAATCCCACAAGAGCAAAAGCCCCACCAGAGACATCTCCTCTTCTTACTTGAGAGGGGGAGGAAAAAAAAAAGAAAAAAAGATTCTATGTTGTGATAACATTATAATCAATAAATCCCATATTTTAAAATTAAAAAAATAGTTGCTTTTAATAAGATATCATTGGATACATGATTTGAGTACAAAATATTAGGATGGGAACCATTTTATTAGACCACTTAGTCACATGCAAACATTAAAAAAGGAAAAGAATTATCTGAAGCTAACCCAATTTAGATTTGTATGAGATGACCTAGATTTGGGATGGGATCACCATGCAGAAACTCTGGCTTGCTTCTCTACTGCTTTATTCCTCATAGTAAGTCATCTACATCAATTTTGACAAGTTATCAGAATAGTAACACACTCATCCAATCTTTCTTAGTAAACTGTGGCTCTTCTGGCATAATCAGTAAGGAGTTAAATGTTACCAGTTCTTTGCAGATTAAGAAACCACACATACATTGAGTCTCTTCACTAAGAAGATGGCATTTACTAGTTTTCATAAATAGGTCTAAATCTTTGAGATCTAGGATTAGACAATGGTCTCTGAAATATGACACCAAAAGCACAGGTCATGGAAGACCTGTTTTAAATCATTAAAATTTAAAACTTCTGTCTGTCAGAGGATACCATCAAGGAAGTAAAAAGACAACACACAGGATGGGAGAAAATATTTGCAAGTCATATATTTCATATGGGATTTATATCTAGAATATATAAAGAATTCTTACAATTCAATAATAAATAGACAAGCAACCCAGTTTAAAATGGGCAGGGACGCCTGAATGGCTCAGGTGGTTAAGCATCTGACTTTGGCTCAGGTCATGGTCTCATGATTCATGGATTTGACCCCTGTGCCAGGCTCTGTGCTGACAGCTCAGAGCCTGGAGCCTGCTTTGGGTTCTGTGTCTCCCTCTCTCTCTGCCCCTCCTTTACTCATGTTCTGTCTCTCTTTGTCTCTCAAAAATAAATTTTAAAATGTTAAAAAAATTAATGGGCAAAGAATCTGATTTGATATTTTTCCAAAGAAGATACACAAATGGCCAATAAACACATAAAAAATGTTCAATATCATTAGCCATCAGGGAAATGAAAATCAAATCCACAAAGATATACCATTCATACCCACTAATAAAGCTAACATAATAAACACATAATAATAAGTGTTGTTAAAGATATGAAGAAATTGGAACCCTCATAAGCTGCTGGTGGGAATGTAAGATTGTGCAGCAGCGTTGGAAAACAGTTTTGATGGTTCCTCAAAAGCTTACACAGCTATAATATGACCCAGCAATTCCATCCCAGGTATGTAGTAAATAGAAATTAAAATATATATACACACAAAAACTTGTACATGAATGCTCATAGCTGGATTATTCATAATAGCCAAAAATAGAAACAATGTGAATGCCCATCAACTGAAGAATGGATAAACAACACATGGTATACCCAAATAATAAAAATCATTTGGCACTAAGAAGAAAATAAAATATTGATACATGCCACAACATTGATAAGCCTTGAAAACATTATGCTAAATGAAAGATAGAGATTACATTGTGTGATTCTATCTTTGTGAAATATCCCAAATAGGCAAATACAGAAGATAGAATGGTGATTACCCAGGTTTGGGGTGAAGTAGGAGAGAAATGTGAAATGACTGCTAATGTGTGCAGCATTTCTTTTTAGAGTGTTAAAAATACTCTAAAATTAGATTGTGGTGTGGTTGCAAAACTCTATGAATATCCTAAAAAAAAACCACTGACTACACATTAAGTGAGTTAGTCTTATAGTATGGTATTCTTTTATGTTAATAAAACTATTTTTTAAAAATGCATAATTAAGTATGTTTAAAACACTTAGCTTCATGCTTAAAGAGCAAGAAATTTGCGGACATCAACCAAAAGGAACAAAACAAAGCAAAAACAAGAAAAAACTATCTTCTTTAGTCCAGACCACAGATTGTTAACTGGGTTTAAGGATAGGCCAACATGATACCTTGGACTCAGTTCAAAGTTGCTTTTACTTTGGTTTGCTCATAAATCAATAAATAAGTAGAATAAAAATAAAAGATGCAGGAGGCTCCCCACTAATCCCTTTGTATTTCATGGATGCACACTCCAAATTTAGTGATCTTGATACCCCATACAGAGTTAGATATTCAGGTCAGAGGATCACAAAACCATAAACTGACTGTCTGTTATATTATAGCCTCAACACCCACAAAGAACTCACAATAGACCTGATAAACAAAAGAGGTATTTCTTTTAAAAGGCTGTTAAAACCAACATTAAAACATACTAGAAAGAAAGATAACTGAATATAATCAAAGAAGAGAAAAGTCTCAATATTGGACTTTAAATTTAAAAAAAACATTAAAAATATATGTGGGGATTGAAATAATAGTCTAAGAAAATACTTATGCTCAATAAGTCATACATTTGAAAGGAAATGCAATATTTTTCTAAGTAAAGTTTCTTTATCAGAAAACTTTCAAGTATAAGGAAAAAATTTAAGTAGACCAATTAGCATACAGAAAACTGGAAAACCAATACGAGATCTGTATACACCACAACCATAACCCTCACACACCAAGAAGCCAGACAATGTGATTTTATAGGTGAGTTTTGGAAAATTTGAAGAACATATAGTTCATATATAAACTGTCCCAGGACACAGAAGAAGATAGTAAGTTTCTAAACTCATTTTGTAAAGCTAGCATAATACTGATACCAAAAGTCTACAAATACAAAACAAGAAAAGGTAACAATAGATCAATTATTAAAATATAAACATCCTGAGTAAAATATTAGCAACTGATCTCAGAACTATATTTAAAGACAAATATAGGATGACCAAGTAAGGTTTATTCTAGGAATGGATAACTGATTTAATATTTAAAAATCTATGGATGTGGGGCGTCTGGGTGACTCAGTTGGTCAGGCATCCAACTCTTGATTTTTGTTCAGGTCATGATCTCACAGTCATGGAAACAAACCCTGCATCAGGCTCCACACTCAGTGGATTCTCCCTCTCTCCCTCTCTGCTCTTCCCCAACTTGTACTCTATCTTTTTCAAAATAAATACATAAATCTTAAAAAAAAAAAATCTATGGATGTAACTACATGAATAAGTTAATAGAGATAATCATATGGTTATTTCAATAGATTCTATGAATTATTTGATAAAATTCAAAAGCCAGTTAAAATCTCTGTAAAATGGAAATAGAAAGAAACTTCTTTATCACAGAAATTTTTCTGTGATATATTGTCATATATATATAGCCAAAATTAATCATAGCACTTACTGGGACATTCCCATTATATTCAGGAATACAATGACATCTGTAATCCTCATAATTATTTAACATTGTTTGGTAGTCCTATTAAATATTAGGGAAAAAAAAGAATTAGAGTACAAATATTATAAAGGTGGGGGGAAATTATCATTACAATTGTCTATCAAGAAAAACAAAACTAAAAAAAAAAGAAAAATGATACTAATCTGAAAATCTATTTAATCTATTTTTTTTCAAATGTCATTGGGTAAATATTGTTGTTGTTTTTTTTTTTGCAAAGTTTATTGTCAAGTTGGTTTCCATATAACACCCAGTGCTCATCCCCA